AATTGCTCAGTGTCCACCATATTGGAGAAGTGGTGTGACCAGATTAGCCTTTTGAAAGAGTATTGTGGCAGCTGGAGGTGACCTGGAAGGAGGAGAAAGTGCCTTTTAGAACTTAGTTATGATCTAGGGAGGTGATGGGAGCCTTGGGCAGAGTTGGATTGGGATGAAAGGGAAAAGCCACAGAGTATATCCTTGGTTGGCAAGAAAGAGTCAGCAGCCACTCCTGGTTTCTGGCTTGGGCATCCTGATGGTTATTGGTGACCTTCCTGGGGATGGGGAACAGCACATTGGGCAGCAGACAGTCGATGGACTCAGTGGCCAGGAAACATTAGTGAAACAGGGGGAGACAGAGAGGATGGGAAGGCAGGAGTGGGACAGGGCACTGCAGCGACCCCGTGGGAGAGGCAGAGACCAGGGCCAGACAAGGGGATTCCAGAGACTGGGGCCTCCCAGGGAACAGTTCAGTCCCTGCAGACTATCCAAATAAAAGTACGGCCACAGCAAGGGGGTGGGAGTGGGTTAGTAGAGCAGGAGAGGTCAAATCCCGAGGCAGGGGTGTTGAAGGAGCCCTAGGTGATACAGGAACCCGGGAGCAGGGCCTGAGCTGGGGTGAAGTCAGACGAGGGGGCTTGTCAGGGCAGAAGGCCGTTCGTCCACAGCTCTAGTTTGTAATGAAGCCCCTGGGCTGTCTCCTCTCCTGGGGTGGGGGGGGCTGGAAGGAGTGTCCTGGGGGCTGCTCTGCACAACACAGCCTCATCTGTCACCAAATTAGACTAAATTTGAGACACAAGTTTAAAATAGTCCAGAACGAACCTGTCATCCACCCCATTGCCAGCTGTCATGGAGTCGGGAGCGGGGCTACCCACGGGGCTCTCCGGGAAGCAGTGTGAGGTCTTCATGTGCAGACAAACTGTTCTCACTGATTTTTAAAAATATTATAGAAGTCCTGACTTCTTTTTTTGTTTCTTGGATCCATGAATGTTTCCAGCCCTTCTCCACGGGGTGCTTTAGAGCACAGATGCACTGGCTTTTTTCCTTAATATCCCGGATTTTAAGTGTAGGGCCAAAACAGCCATCTGTGGGCAGGATTCCTGATCTGGGCTGCTGGCTTGCTCTGGGTACTCTGCAGGGTGCAAGCAGAGGCTGGGACCAGCTTTGGTGTTGGCAGAACAGCCTGGGTGGGCATCCAGAGAAAGGGGTGACAGCAGGCAGTTTCCAGTTCAGTGAAAGAACGGGCCCCCTGGAGACTCATCGCCTCTAACCCTTGTCTTCCCACCCTCAGCCGCGTTCATCCGGGTTGTGGGCTCAGAGTTCGTACAGAAGTACCTGGGCGAGGGCCCCCGCATGGTCCGGGACGTGTTCCGCTTAGCCAAGGAGAACGCACCCGCCATCATCTTCATAGACGAGATCGACGCCATCGCCACCAAGAGATTCGATGCCCAGACCGGAGGTGAGTGGTGCCCAAGCAGGGCCTGGGTCTGGGGCAGGCTGCTTGTACTGTGTGCCCCTAACTGACCATGTTCCACTGTCTGCAGCTGACAGGGAGGTTCAGAGAATCCTGCTGGAGCTGCTAAATCAGATGGATGGATTCGACCAGAATGTCAATGTCAAGGTTTGGTGTTCAGGATGGCCAGGGGAGGTGTGGTGTGGGCATGGGGCTTGGGGGCATGTGCTTGTGAGGGACGTGTTATAATGGGAAGGACAGTGTGGTGGGGACAGAAGTCTGAGCCAGCCTGTCCCCCATACCAGGTGATCATGGCCACAAACAGAGCAGACACCCTGGATCCAGCCTTGCTGCGGCCGGGACGCCTTGACCGGAAGATCGAATTCCCACTCCCTGACCGCCGCCAGAAGAGATTGATTTTCTCCACCATCACCAGCAAGATGAACCTCTCTGAGGAGGTTGACCTGGAGGATTGTATCCTGCTCTGCAAGTGCGGGGCAGGGGCCCACAGGGGATAGGGGGCAGGACTGAATCTTCATCTCTGCCCCTGGCGCTGCTGCCATCAGACGGTTTAGGTGGAGTCAGGTCCCGGGAGGAGAGGTGCTGACAGAGGCAACTCAAGGGTGACTCCCCGGTGCTGCGTATTCACCCCGTCACACAGAGAATGCTTTCCTTGACTCGCCCGCTGTAGATGTGGCCCGGCCGGATAAGATTTCGGGAGCTGACATCAATTCCATCTGTCAGGAGGTGAGTGCCGGTGTATCTCTGGGTCAGGGTGGGGGGCTGCCTCTGAGACCTCTCTGCTGCCATTGTTCCATTGCCTCCCTGGCGTCTTGTTCCTCTTCCTCTGCCATCACTGGGGGTGGGAAATGCAGGGAGCCCACTTTTTCCGCTCCTCCTCCAACAGAGCGGAATGCTGGCCGTCCGCGAGAACCGCTACATCGTCCTGGCCAAGGACTTCGAGAAGGCGTACAAAACGGTCATCAAGAAGGACGAGCAGGAGCATGAGTTTTACAAGTGAGCCCTCACCCCCACGCCACAGGGGCGGGGGTTTCTCTCAGCTCCCCAGCCTTTGTCCCCAAACCAAGTTCTCTTTTTCTCTTTACCTACGATTGGTTTATTCAATAAAGACAAGACTGAATCACTTTAATTTCCTCTTAGAAATTTGACTTCTTTGGACAATGTGGGCCTTGGACGCTCTGTGCCCCTCCTGACAGACGCTTGAGTGAGGCCATGGTCAGGGTTACCGCTTGAGAGAGAAGCAAAGATTTGGGGCAAGGGGTGGAAAGCAAGCCTCAGACCTTAGCCTTGGACCGTAAAATAAAACCCCCATGCCTCTTGGCACCCCTGCTTCCTCCAGGTGGACCATTTGCATTTCTAGGGATACCTGTCTTTGCACACTGAGAATATCTGGGACTCGGCCCAACTCCCAAAGTGGAGGTAGGGAAGGCGCACTTGTGGGTAGGATGCCCCGTGGTGTGCATGTCGCTGACTTTATCAGGGCAGGCACACCTGGTTGGAGTGGGAATGGTTTAGGTACCTCTTCTGGGTGTCTATCCCCGATACCCCAGATTGGGAAAGAGCCTTCCCCTGCGCTCCCCTGGCAGAGCAGCAGGGTCCAGTTTAGGCTTGTTTACCAAATAAATAAATGTCACTGTATACCTGGGGGTAAGATGGGAAGGTGTAAGGAAAAAATGCTGGGGAGTTACAGTTCTTTGAAGGGATGAAGATGATTCTTCCAGAAGTGAGCCTGGCAGGCTGAAAAGAGTAGTTAACTTTTCCTTCCTCTTGAAACCTCATTAAAATGAGTAAGGAGATAAAAGTGTAAACTCAAGGATACAGGAGGGGAGAAAAGATGCAGCAAAATGATTTTGGAAACAAGCAGATTCCTGCTCATTGGAGCAGACCTGAGGCAACCTGAGCCTGGGCTCAAGGAAAGTCTTAAGTTTCAGAAGTCAGAGGAGCAGGTTCTAGAAGTAAGGGCTGGAAGGCTGCGTAACATTCAGAATGCCCACCTTGGCTATGACTAGCGCCAGGTGACTTTCCCTGCTAAGGTTACTCCAGGCCCATGGCCCATCAGCTGAAGACCACAGACAGGTCTGCTCCAGAAAGGCTGGCCCACAGCCTGGGGGGACAGGCCCGCAGCACCAGTGAGGAGAGTGCCGTGTTGAAGAGGGTACAAGCCCAGGCAGGTAACTTAAGGATTCATCTTGTGCCTCCCTGGTGGCCTGCAAGTTAAGTCTCAGTGCTATCACCACAATGACCTGAGTTCGATCCCTGGCCAGGGATGATCCACATGGCACAGCAGACCTCTCCTGTCTCGCCTGCTGCTCCCCTTAGCACAATCACGCTCCTCACTCTGCTCAGGATCTAAGACCCTGCTCTGAGCCCGTCTTATGGCGTTAGGACTGAATTGTTCAGGAAGGGAAGAGGAAGAATCATAAGTACTATAATTTGAAATAAAGCAAATTATGCTCTGAAGCACTAAGTGGGTCTTAAACTCATTCTCTGCCTTTAGAGCGCGGGTTTTTCCCATCCTAAAGTAGGGCTAGCTGAACTCGACCTAGCACTCAGGCCATCTGCTGCAAATCTGTGGGCTCACTAAGTCAAAGACACAGTGTCTTCCCAAGCAAGCATAAATCTATTTTCTCAGTCCAGGATGCTCAAATTTTATCTGCCAAACACTCCAAAGTACAGAGGAGCATAAAGAGTTCTTTCCTATTTAAAAAGTTACTTGTATTTTTATGCATGAAAACAAATTCACTGACGGTACATAAAAAGACAAAATGATCTGACCAAATAAATTATCAATCTTTGATCCCCATATTAAGTAACGCTGACGCTGCAAGAAGATGCAACACAGACTTCCTTACCCCACAGAGACCTATGGCAGCGCGTGGTCCCGTTTCCATGGCACCCACGATGCGCCACAGCCATCACACAAGTCGTGTTCGCCCAGCCACGCTTACACCCAGCGCTCACGAGTCCGCTCACAGCGACCCCCCCCTCCAACCCCCCCAACACACCCATCAGCCCAGCCGCAGCCCAGCGCGCCACGATCCCCCACCGAGCCTGTCACCTCACAGTGCACGGCCACAGACCAGGCTCCCGGCAAGCGGATGCCGCCTCGGTCACACGCCGTCTCCCACTCAAAAAATAACACACACGCAGACACATCCCCCCGCAGCCGGGGGCGCGGTCGACCCCCACCCTCGGGGCGACACACACTCCAAGTCCCCGCGTCACACACCAAACCCCGCAGGGCACAGGAGCTGGGGAGGACCTTAAAGGAAAAGACAAAATTCTGCCTCTCGGGGCTCGGCCTCAGGGAGCACCCACGGATGCACTCCGCGGCCCGGAACCCTGGCGGCCCTGAGCGCCGGCAGAGCCCAGACGGCGCGGCTCGGGGACCCCGCTCACCGTCAGCCTCCGGGCCCCAGCGGGCGGGTTGAGATGTCAGCTCTGCGCCTGCGCCAGCGCCCGCGTTTACGCCTGCGCAGTGAGAGTGCGAGCGCAGCGGCTTCCGGCTTCCGGCCGCGGACTATATTTCCCAGAAGCCCCAGGGGGCAATTAGCCATGACCCTGGGGGCCCGCTCTGGTTGGTCCTTGGGGTTGAGCCGCCGCGGGGGAGGTAGCCGCAGCCTGGGCAGGAGTCGGCGCTGGGTGAGAAGTAGCGGGACTCGCCTGTCTGGGCCGGCTCGGGCCTGCGTGACGGTGGGTGTTTGGGAGGCTTGACTCCGCTGTGTGTGTCCCTGACCCGCGTCTGCCCCTGCCGCCTTCCCGCACCCGTCATGGCCGCGTGTCAGCCGAGAGTCACGTCCCCGGGAGCAACGCCAGTGTCGAGCCCTGAGATGAAAGTTCCCAGCAAGAAGGCTCAGTGCCGGGCTTGGGTGGGACTTTTGGGGCGAGAAGTGTCCCTGAGCCAGACTGCTGGGACGAACGGGACTTGGAGGGCTGAGGTGCTGCTCCAGTTTTCGGAACCACAACATTCCCATGCTGCGGTTCTTCGGAATCTTCTGTTAGTTCACAGCCAGAGTCCAGCCTCCCTCCCCATCTGGTTATACGTACGAGGTCACGGTAGATGTGACCCTGGCGGGGATTTTTCTCCGCTCTAAGAAAGGTGTTGTGTCTCACGATTTCCTTCCTCCCCAGTCCTGCCATTTTCCAAAAGAAGTATCCTTGCGAGGAGGGACATCTCGTCCTAACAGTTCAACTGTTGACCATCTGAAAGCCCAGCCCAGGTGAGCCTGTATTCCCTCTTTGTTCACACTTTTTTTAGTACTTGGAAAAACATTTGTTTTTCTTTGACTGAAATGTCCGGTGGCCTATCCCAGGCTTTCCTTCCTGGTGAATGACGAGCCATACACATGGATTCCTCTCCTAGCTCACCCCCAAGTGCTCCTCTCCTCATTTTTTCAAATCATTCCTCTGTACTTACTTTTTGTACAGTAAGAAATACCCTCTGTACTTACTTTTTGTACAGTAAGAAATACATATCCTGGAGTCTAAAATTTCAAAATTATTTTGTTGAGGTTAGTGTGCAAGTGGAACTGTATCACTAACCTTCTCTAAAACATTTTAAAAGGAAGGCACAATCAGAAGAGGTTTGACTAAGTCTGTAAGCCAGGCACAAGGTTATCTGCTTTTTAAGGCTTTTAGGAGCAGGGAGGTGACTGGTGTGTGGACACGGAAATCTGTGTCCTCATAGGCAGGGACTTCCCCAAGGAATCAATGAGTTAAGATTTATACGGAATTTATCATAAGAGGGCCTCCCCTGCTGGCGCAGCAGGTTGAGTGCCATGCTGTGAAGCTGTCTGCAGCCTCTCCAGCGCAGGTTCGACCCCTGCCACCCAGTGAGACTCCCACATGGCGAAGCAGAACTCTCCTGCCTCAACCGCTGCTCCCCTCAGAAGTGTATTTCTGTCATCTGCCTGTTCTGCTCCCTGCCCTGCCTCTGGTGAATCCTCTCACCCTCCTGTGCCTCTCGCCTGTACCCCAGCTCTTGTATAAAAATAAATAAATCTTTAAAAAAAATTTTTATCGTAAAAAAAATTACGAGAAAAGTGACATTCATCGCGATGAACAATTACACAGTTTTAAACTGTAGATGACTTTTATTGAGATGTAAAGATATTTTACAAGGATTAGATACAAAATGGTATTTCGGTTGTTTATTCAGCCTAGAAATAGAGGAAGACCCAAACACTGTTCCATCCACTTAGCCCAGTGACATCATCACTGTGGGTCATTCCACATCAGCATTCTCTAGCACGGGATTAAGACAGGTTATCCTAAGGGACAGCGGCCGATGGCAGCTAGCAAGATCCTCCTAATTCCTAATGGTGGATGGACATATGTCTTCTTAGGATTCAGGAAGACCTTATACATTTTGCCTAACTGTGAACAAAGACTTGGTCTGATATATTCACAAGATGGATTAGTCAGCTAATAAATATATTAATGAACGATTTGGTCATGGACTCAAAGGAAAATGATTATGATGTTTTATCTGATAAGCCTGAGTTTCTATGAAATCAAACATTAATCATCTTCTATTTTCTAAGGCAGATTTTTCAGTACTTTTGGGGGAGAAATTCACTAATTCTTTAATTCTTTGGAAGTAAAAGAACATGGTGGAATGCACATTAATTCAGAACTTATAATTCAGGTACTTAAACATGCAGGACTTAAATGATAGGCAGTGTGTTTATGCATGTGATTTCGTTTCATTGGGAAATGTTCATTTTTATTCATTCCCAGATAATGTTATCCCATGGTATAACGGACAATTGTTTGCACCATCAGTATGTTTTAAAAGCATATAGGCACTCTGCTTTAGAAAGATGAATTTCCTTATTCTTTCCTACACATCACAGGCTTGAACCCCAGTTTACTTACTTGTTAGGTTGCCTCTTTCCTGCAAAGCAGTATTCCATCTTGAAAACACATTTAAAACAACTTTTATAATACATGGGTCTGTCACTTCAGATGTCCTTGGCATTCAGAGACGTGGCCATCGACCTCTCCCAGGAGGAGTGGGAGTGCCTGGGCCCTGAACAGAGAGCCTTGTACAGGGAAGTGATGTTGGAGAACTACAGCCACCTGGTCTCCCTGGGTAAGGATCTGTGCAAATAGTTTGCAGTCTGTTTTCTGGAACAAGTCTCCATTGTTGAATTTCAGAGCTCTGTTTTAAGAAACCTGAATTTCTGCCCCCTGTTCTGAAAGAAATGGTTTCAGTACTTGCTGGCTTAGAAATGAGCATTTGCATTAAGCACCTGTATTTCCCATTCTTTCAGTGGCCTTTACTCCTTCCTGCATTTGCCTGTTTTTCTAAATGACTCCAAGATTTGAATTCCACAACAGTCTCAGAGAAGCCAGATGTGATATAAAGTGTATCTTTAGAATTCCTGTCGCTGCCCTGTGTTCACGGCTGGTCCACCCACAAAGGTGCCAGCTAGTGCCAGGGCCCTGGTTTCCTTAGCTCATCACAGGAACGTCTGATTTAAATACTGGAGACTGAGTTGACCATATCCACTTAGAATTCAAGCGAACATGCATTCCTAGAAGAGACTTATTTTCTTTTTACCCTTCCTTGTGGTTGAAAGTTAGAGTCTGTGAATTTTGGATTTTCTACGGAAAAAATATCTGAAGAACCTGAAAGTGTTTTACATTTAAATTATTTTTCCTTTTGCAAAATAACGAGAGTAAAAATAATACTGTATCCCAGGCATCCTTTTAAACCTTTACATATATGAATTCATTTAATTATCTGAACAGCAGGTAATATTAGCTCTATTTTGCATTTGATAGAGACCTTTACCTTTACCTTTGGAGGATAGCTTTTCAAGGACACACAGCTGACAGTTGGCAAGTTCTGAACCCAAGCCATGGGGCTCCAGAGAATGTGTCTTCAACCTCTCTATGCTACCTTTAAAATCAGAACACACCCTTTCCCTTCTCTAATATTTAGTTCTATCTAAATGTTAATATTTAGTCACTCTAAATGTCATTATTCTCTAGTGGCTTTTTTTCATTTCATCAAGTTTCATCAAGTACCATTTAGACCTATATAGTTTAACATAAATGTAACCAAGTCTGAATGAAGTCATTGTGAGCGTCAGGAATTTTGTTTGTTCTAAATCAAGTGGCATTTCTTTTCTCCTGAGCAGGATGTTCGATTCCTAAGCCGGAGGTGATTGCTTTACTGGAGCAAGAGAAAGCACCCTGGGTGGTAAGGAGCGAAGGGACAAGAAGTTGGTGCACAGGTGAGTGATGGCAAATTTGGCAGGGGCGCACCCTGGGTACTGTTCAGAAAGCACCCTTTCCTGAGACCCAAGAAAAAAAAAAGATCCTTTCAACATGAGCTACCAAAAGGAGGGTCACCTTTCTCCCCTTTTGCCACGCTCATTTCTCTTCTTTCCCTCACATTTCAAAACTGGGATTGCTTGCTTTCTTCCCCACTGACCATTTTAGCTGAGTTTCCAATTCCTCCTTTACAGTTACATTTATTTCCCCGTTGACTAAACTTATTTTGCTCAACACATCTTTCCCACATACTTGAAACCAAGCACCGTGCTACAGTCCAAGCATTGTGGCTCCATGATCCTCCCTCTAGTGGAGGTGTTGACACAGTAATAAGGAAGATACACAGTCAATAAGCCCACAGATAAGATCACATTAGGTTGGTGTATGTGTTGTGAAGAAAATGAAGAAAGGTCAGGAGGCAGAATGCTGGCGGGCTGATTGACAGGGCTAATTTAGATAATATCGAGAAAGACTGTTCTGAAGTGATCACCTTTGATCAGAGATATGCAGTGAGATCTCTGGCCAGATGAATGCAGAGGGAAAGCATTCAGGCAGCGCAAACAGCAAATGCAAAGATTATGAGATCAAGTGTCATCTGTGTTGATTCCCAAACCAGATTATGCCAGCGGATGTGAACAGCTTGTACGATCATTTTTGTCTTTGGAAGTTTTCATTTCCTTGGGAATATATAGAAGTGCATTGCTAAGTAATAGGCCAGATATATTAGCTTTATTGTATATACTGAGGTATAATTTACATAATATAAAATGTACCCCATTTTCAGCATCAAATTTTCTAGCATAAAAAACTTATTGGCATATAATTGGCATACAATAAACTGCATATATTTACTATACAATGTTAAGTTATAATGTGTGTTAAAGCTTTTACAATCAAAATGATACACATTCATAACCTCCAAAGGTAACCCCTCCCTCATGCCACTATACCCTACCCCCAGGTAACCTTTTATCTGCTTCCTGTCACTATAGATCAGTTTACATTTTCTAGAATTTTTTGCAAATGGAATCACACAGTGATTTTTTTATTTAGCTTCATTCACTCCACATAATTGAGATTCATCCACGCTGTCCCATGTGTCAATGGTTCGTCCTTTTTTAATGCTGAATAGCGTTCATTTGTGTGGCTGTGTTACATTTTCCATTTACCTGTTGATGGACATTGGGTTATTTCCAGTTTGGGAGTATCTACATGTAAAACTACTATAAATATTCATGTACAAGTACAGACACGTTTTCATTTGTCTTTGATAAATATCTGGGGATATGCAGGTGGATCATATGGTAAATATATTTAAATTTTTAAGAAACTGCCACATTTTCTTTTTCACGATCATGCTTTCAGTATCATATCCAAAAAGTCTTTTCTATCTTCTTCCAGAAATTTATACTTCTAGGCTTTTCCATTTGTGAATCAGTTGAACTCCTACAGAAAGTTGAACAGGGCATACGTCCCAGTTCCCTTACAAGGCCAACATTAATACCCCGATACCAAAACCAAAGATGTTACAGGAAATGTCTAAAGAGATGCAGTTCTTCTAAACAAAATTTTAGCCATTTGATCCAAGAGTTCCTAACAAAAATGGTTATTGTTGTTCTCCTTGACATTCTCTGGCTAATGGCACGAGTCAGGTCTCTGCCTCTGTCTTCACATCCCCTTCACATAAACTGCTTTTTCGTGTGCCTGGTGTCTAATCTCGCTCTGCCTCACTCATGAAAATGTACCTGTCATTGCATTTAGGGTTAACCTGAATCCAGAATAATCTCACCTCAAGAGCCTTAATTACATCTATAAAGGCTTTTTCCAAATGAGGACACATTCCCAGGCACTGAGGCCACCATTCACCCACCGTATCTGGGAATGATGCCTTTTGTTTTCTTCCTTTCTAACCCTTATGTTATGCAGTATGACTATCGAATAGAAGTGAGTGTGAGCATGAATGAGTCATAATAAAACTCAGCTGATGCTGACTAAAGAAAACATTTTAATACTTTAGTTTGGGCGGGGCAAAGAAAAGCAGCAACCGCTCACGTGCAGGGACTGCACACCACAGTGGCGAGGCCTGCGTTCAAGGCAACTGTGGGTATTACAGAGTGATGGGGTGTAGAAAATGACATTTCCCCAATTATTCTTTTTAATGTTTATATATTTGTAAATGTATATTTATTTTAATGTATACATTTACACATCTTAATATCTGATCTTTTTTTTTTTTATTGAGGTAACATTGGTTTACAACTCTGTATGATTCAGAGGTATAGGTTGCACCTCTTCAGGTGTCTGTGACCACACCACTTCCATCACCAAGGCACCCACAGTCCTCCGCCACAGTCCATTTAGCCCCCTGCAGCCAGCCCCTCTAGTAACCTTAATTCTACAGACTTTTAAGGTCTTAGTGGTTTGGTTTTGACCCTTTGTATTGCTTCTTTAGATTGCACATACAAGTGAAACTATGTGACATTTGTCTGTTTCCTCCTGACTTCGCTTAGCATTATCCCTCCAGTTTCATCCATGCTGTCGCAAATATCAAGAGTTCATCTTTTTTATAGCTGAGTAATATTCCATTTTTTTATATATGTACAAACCACATCTTCTTAATCCACTCATCTGTCCTTGGGCAGATGAGTGTTGTTTCCACACCTTGGCTCTTAGTGCTGCCATAAACAGGAGTGTGTTTACTTCTAATTTGTGTTTTTGCATTCTTTGGGTAGATACCCAGGGGTGGATCTGTTTTTAATATTTTGAGAAACCTCTATACTGTTCCACAGGGGCTGGACCAATCTGCATTCCCACCAACAGTGTACGAGGGATCCTTTTCCTCGACATCCTCGCCAACCCTTGTTTCTGCACTTTCTGATATGGGCCATTCTCACAGGTGTGAGATGGTAGCTCCTTGTGGTTTTGACTTGCATTTCCCTGATGATAAATGATGAGCAATTTTTCATGTCCTTTTGGCCATCTCTGTGTCTTCTTTGGAGAAGTGTGTATTTAGCTCTTCTGACCATTTTTTGATTGGATTGTTTTCAATTGTTGAGTTGTATGAGGTCTTCGTAGACTTGGATGTCGACCCTTTGTCAAACATATGGTGTGCAAATACTTTCTCCCATTCAGTAGAGTGGTCTTATTTTAAGGAGTTTCTTTCACTGTGCAGAAGCTTTTTAGTTTGATGTAGCCCCATCTGCTTATATTCTCTTGTTTCTGTTCCCTCCATTTAAGCTTCTAACAGAGCAATCTTGAACTAAACGAATGTACATTTGTTCCCTTTTATAAGAGAAGTCATGCAGAAAAGGGTATATTCAATCACTATATCATGGTGAGAGATGGGAGACATATTCATAATGGTAGTGTTATTTAGGAAAAATTAAATTTTACTCAGCTGCTTTCTTCTGTGACTTGTTTATAATACTTACTTTTATTCTCATGCTAATGACCTTTTTAAATCCATGGTTTATTTCTCCTAGTTACTTAATATGCACTGTGTGTTAGAGCTTGTTACTCAGTGGCAGGATTAAAACAGAAGCTGTGTCTATACTTAGGGAATTACAGGCCTGAGGAAATACATACAACAACAGATGAAGAAATCAGTGTATATATAATTGAGAAGAGCCACAGAACGAGGTGCTGGAAGATGGAATCAGGAACATGAGCTGACTCACACGTGGTCAGTGAGGACAGCTGTTCAGAGGAAATGACATTTAACCTGAAACCTGAGAAGGGTGAGAAGGAGCCAGCCATGCAAAGAATCAGAGCCAGAGGCGCTTGGGGAAAGCCTTAAGAGGGAAAGTTCAAGCAAATCACAGGAGCTGAAAGATCGAAAAGATGACAGTGGCTTGACTAGATCTTACACATAAGGAAGGGCTTGGTATCCTTGCTTGGATTGTTTGGATTTCTATGTCTGGGTTGTATACTAAAAGTAAAGAAAAACTTTTGGGGAAAGAATTAAGAAGAGTCCCAAAATGAGCCACATCAAAATTAGCTGATGAAAAAGATTAGAAATGCAGGTATTTAGACATCCTGTTGATTTTGTCTAGATTGGTGCCTAAAGAACAGTGTATGTAAGGAATCCCCCTACAACGATTTTAAGTAGGAGCAGCACTGGCTTACCCGTCCCTCTGATCACCTATTTTTAAAGCCATCGCTATCTGAGATCATTCTGCTGTCTTTCAAATTCCCTTGCAATAATTTGAGTTCTCTAAGCCAGACTCAGGAAAATACGGCCCATGCGTAACTAGTTCCCCACCTGCTTTTTATCTCTCTCATAGGCTAAGGTTCATTTTTACATTTCTAAATGGTTGGAAAAAATCCAAAGAATATCTTGTTACACATAGAAATTTTTTGAAATTCAAATTTCTGGGTCCATAAATAAAGTATTAGTATACCTCAGTCATCCTCGTGCAGTCACAGACTGTGACAGCGTGTTATCACAGCAGGCCTGAGCAGCCGTGACGAGGCCGTCCGCTCTGCCTGGCCTCTCACTGAAAACATGGCTGGGCCCGGCTCTAAGCCTTTCCTTCTAAAGGGTATTATTTTTGGTCTGTCTTTTCTTTCTATGGGCCTGCCCCCAACATAAAAAAAAATATCATATTATAGCATGTTTCCTATTTGCATTTTGTTTTTCAGGTTTGAGATCTGTCCCCAAGAAGTTCTTTCCTGAAAAGGATATTTGTGAAATCTACTTGTCTCAGTTGCAGACTGTGGAAAAAAGTAAAACCGGCCTCTATGAGGACACTACTTTCAGAAATGACGCGCGGTGCAATCGTGAACTTGAGAGACGAGGACAGCGGATGGGAGGCATTAGCCCAACCACAATCCCAAAACGCCTGGCTATTCCTCTGCATCAGGAAATCCCTACCAGAGAGAAAGCCTATGAATGTAAGGAGTGTAGGAAGGCTTTTAGACAGCAGTCCTACCTCATGCAACACATGAGAATCCACACTGGTGAGAGACCCTATGTATGTAAGGAGTGCGGGAAGGCCTTCTGTCGTGTGGGGGACCTCAGGGTGCACCGGACAATTCATGCCGGGGCGAGACCCTATGAATGTGGTGACTGTGGGAAGACCTTTAGACTCCATTACCACCTCACTGAACACCAGAGAATTCACACCGGCGAGAGGCCTTATGAATGTAAGATTTGCGGAAAGACCTTTCGGGTGCAGCGACATATTAGTCAACACCAGAAAATCCATACAGGTGTGAAACCCTATAAATGCAGTGAATGTGGAAAGGCCTTCAGCCACGGCTCATACCTTGTTCAGCATAAGAAAATCCATACTGGTGAGAAACCCTATGAATGCAAAGAATGTGGGAAGGCCTTTCGCTTCCAAACAGAACTTACTCAGCACCACAGATTTCATACTGGCGAAAAGCCCTATAAATGTCAGGAATGCGGGAAAGCCTTTATTCGTAGCAGTCACCTTACTCAGCATCAGAGGATCCACACGGGTGAGAGGCCCTATGAGTGTAAGGAGTGCGGAAAGGCCTTTGGCCGCCATTACCATCTCACTCAACACCACAGAACCCACACTGGGGAGAAGCCCTACGCGTGTCATCAGTGTGGGGATGCTTTCATGTGTAGCTACCAGCTTACCTTGCATCAGAGAACTCACACCGGTGAGATCCTGTATGAGTGTAAGGAGTGCGGGAAAGCCTTCAGCCGCCGGTACCATCTCACTCAACATTTTAGACTTCACACCGGCGAGAAGCCTTACGGGTGTAAAGAATGTGGGAAGGCCTTTCGTCTTCAAGCAGAACTTGCTCGCCATCACACAGTACACACGGGCGAGAAGCCCTACAAATGTAAAGAATGTGGGAAGGCCTTCAGTGTTAACGCAGAACTTACCCGCCATTACAGAATTCACACTGGTGAAAAACCCCATAAATGCAAAGAATGTGGGAAAACCTTTAATCGTAGGGATCAACTAAATTCACATCAGAGAAATCACCTTAGCGAGGAACCCTATGCCTGTAAAGAGGCCTTACAGTAAAGGCCTTTCATGACGGCAGAGAACTCCTAAGATATTTTTGCTTGTGAGGGAACAGGTGGGAACCTGCTTTGCATCACACCTCTTTTGCTCAGAACTTAACAGAGAGAGTTTTTCAACTCTGTATGTGGAGAGAGACACTATCTCCTCTCCAGTGTTGCCTACACTTTAGCAGGGCTGCAGTGCACCTCAACACAAGAGGAAGGGCTCGCCCCCCACAAACTGCTGTTGTCCAGTATTTTCATAAAATGAAATACAACTGGGTTGCCAGAATATGAAATGGAAAGGAAAACGCTTGACAAAATCAAGTTCCCTTCTTTTCATTACTGACTGTCAGATGTAAATAAGCCCCGTCAAACTGCAGTCAAGATCTCTAAGCTCCAGCTCTCAGGGCTGGCATTGACTCCAGGACTGAGTGTCGCAGATAAATTCCGTTCACACAGCGAACAGGGAGACTTTGGCCCCGGGACACCTCTGCTGCTGTTTTCATGAGCTCCACCGAGGCCTGTGTGATATTTGGCAAAACCCTATGTGCCTCAGTTTTTAAATGGTGATCGTAGTACCTATTTAATAGTATTTTTGTGAGAATGAAATAATAAAAACCACCTTTTGAAGCATATGTGCTTGGTATTATTTTTATCATTGCTGACACCATCAGCAAATGCAGGCGAGGGGCAGACCCTTAATGGGGGTAAACACCTCCCACCATCTGCTCCTTACATAAACTGACCATTGTGCGGAGAATCCAGCAGAGTAAGTAAAATCAGAACTCCGCTCTAAAAGCTAATGTGAGCAAGAAATCACTATTAAGTGTGAAGGTGGGGAAAGTAAAGCCTCTGAGGACTCGGAGAGTCGTAATGCTTTTCATAACCCAAGAAAAAACGACGTGGAACAGTCCGCTTTTTTCCTGCACAAAATTCATCATAAATTAGAAGCTGCCCATTTGGAAAAAAAGTAGCATAGAATAGCCTTCTTTATATTCAGTGATTGTTCATATGTCATTTTTTGGTTTGCTTCTATGTAATTTTTCACATAGTTGTTGCTGGTATTTGAGTCTGTACTGTGGGCATGACATTTGCCCTCTCTGTAGGTAGCCCCTAAGAACGGAGGTTGTCTCCTACATCATTACTCTCTGACTTGACCTAAGGAGATAAAGTCATTACATAACCTGGAACAGGACAGACAGACACCAGGCCTCGGCCCAGCACACCTGAAAGAACATCTCTGAGAAAAGCAGTATTTAATGGCATTTAACAATGTTCTGTGACCACAGAGGCTTTGAAATTTTGAATATTAAATCCCTTCTAAGAAACAGATGCTTGTTGCCAAGCTATGGGAAAACTTAGGAGTCTGAGACTAAAGAAAATTTGCTTAACCTTGTCTATCCCGTTGTCTCTTAAGCTCTGCTAAGGAAGTTCCATTCACAACACCTGGTATTTTGGGGATGTGAACCCACATTGGAAAGGCTGTTATCACCAAAAAGGAGGGGCCCTAAAGATGGACTATTAAGATATAGGGGGCAGATGCTAAGCTGTGTTAGGGAAGGTACATTTCTCTGAGGTTTGCGTCTTCTGAAGTCAATGGGTTGCCCTCTAGGTAGGGCTGCCACTTTTCCTATAATTAAAAATCCACTTGATCCTGTTTTTGAGATGAACACCATAATGCACTCAAGCCCTCTTACTGTTTAGTGTTTAGGTTTCAGCAGCTTTTCCTTACTTCAGCTACACTTCAGTGAACCTCCTTATCTGTGATCATTGTATACAAATGTATACAATTTCTTTAATTGTATGCAAGTGGTAGAACTGCTCTTATGTTTTTTTAAAGATTTATTTTTATTTATGCATACAAGAGCTGGGGTGCAGGCCAGAGGTGTGGGAGGTGAGAGGAATCACCAGATACAAAGTGGGGAGCAGAACAGGCAGATCGACTGAAGTACACTGCTGAGGGAGCAGGAGATGAGACAGGAGAGGTCTGCTTTGCCATGTGGGTAGCTCCCTGCCCGGGGATCGAACTCGTGCTGCAGAGGCTGCGGATACCTTCATAGGTTGTGTCTTAACTCCTTGCACCACCAGGGAGCCCTGTTCTTACATTTTATATCCTTTCAAGTACTTTAGGTATTCCTCAACTGTTCACAGGCTAGACACATCTAATTCTACTAGATAGGCCAAATTGTTCTCTTCGACTGCTGTTAATATGCAATTTGACAGGAATATGTCTACCAAATCAACTTTCTAAAGCCTCACTTTCGATACTTATTTTAGTAATTGTTTTCAGGCATTTCAATTTCAGTTGAGCATCTTTTCAGAAATGTTTCCCCCACAATCATCATGCTTTGACTTTCCTGTTCTTGATTTTCTGTTATTTCTGTTCTTTTTTTTTCTTTTTTCCTAATTAATTTGCATGTTTCTCTGGATACTACATTTGTTGTATTGATGTGATTATTTTCTCTTAGATTAAATGAGCACAAGTTAACTCTATTTGAACACTCCTTCCGAAATTATTAGATGTTTAGACACAGTTGAAAGCAAAATTAGAAACTTAAAAGTGAGTGAGAAAGAAATACCCAGAAACATACAAATAGATAAGAACGTTAAAACCATAGAAAAGGCAAGAGATACAGAAGATGAAATATATGTAAGACTTAAATGAAAGATGGAAGATGTAACAGCAGATGAATTTAAGGTTAATGCCTCAGCGTTTCCCCAATTTGATGAAAGACTTCACCCCCACACACACTAAATAACAGACCTGCTATCTGCTCACCGCCATGTTCCCCCACAGCCACACTGGTACCTTCTTCCAAGACACCAACAAAGGTCCTTAATCTTTGCTCCGACCTCTTCTCTCCACCCTCCGCATTCTCACCAACAACTATCTGCATTACCTACTCCCTCAAGTCGTCTTGGACTCATTCAAATATTAGTATCAGAAAGAGATTTCCTGACCAAATAACTTAAAACTGAATCCCGCAGGGCATTCCTTCTCCCTTCCTATCTGTTACTTTTCAGCAGGGCACTTACCACCATCTGAAATACCGTTTGTCTAGCATTTTTCTGCCTCTCCAAGTAGAAGGCAAATTCCATAAGAACCATTGTGCTTTCCTATTTTATTATTTCCAGTATCACTTATAACAGTGACTGGCATACAGTAAAGGATCATTGAATATCCTTAATAAAATGAATGAATGAACAAGTGAACTGAAAGTATAGATTCACCTCCTGTAGAGGGAAAGAGAGAGAGAGAAAGGAGGGAAGAGAAGAGGGGAGGGGAGGGAAGGAAGAAGGAAGGATTAGCAACAACAGGAATGAAAAAGAGGTCCTGAATATAGACTCAAATAAGAATTCAATAAACCGTTTTTCAACATTTGACAATTTAGCTAAATGACCATTTTGGGGGGAAAATAGAATTTATGAAAATTGGCACAAGAAGAGATAGAAACTCTGAATTTCCTAAATTTATTAAAGAAATTTGACCAATATTTAAAATTTTTTCACAGTAAATAGTTCACATGGAAATGCATGAAATGCAGAAAATCCCATGCCTGTATTGCTTCATCAATGAATATCCCAAGAAAGAAAGGATACCAGGCTTACAAAAATTCATCTAGAGAACAGAAAAGAAACACTTTCCAACTCATTCCTGTAGTCTAATAATTTTGATACTAAAGCCTGACAAGGACATTTTAAGGCATAGCACTTAAGCATGGATATAAAATTCCTTCTCAAGATAGCAGCATATCAAAAATACAGATAGTATCTGTTGAAGGCTCCATTCAATGCATTGAAAGCAAGACAAATTACTAAAAGGCATATCAACTGAACAAAATTAAACCTGCTTTTATTCACAGGTGACATGCTGGTGTACACAGAAGATAAACAAGGAGTTACAGTAATATTATCTTGCAACATTGCTGGATTTAATTCAAAATACAAAACTGACTTTCTTAAGTCCACCAATAAAATGAAGTTTCAAAAGGGAAGTCACTCAAAATAGTGATAAATGAAGTGTAAGCTGATTATAAAATGTGGAAATGTGAAGAGCAAAGAATTGCTATGGCAAACTGAAGAACAAAGCCTGAGGGTTTATGTCAAAGCTATTATAATTGAGATAGTACAGCAGCAGCACAAGGACAAACAGACCAATGGAAAGAGTAGAGAGCTCAACCTGATTTATGACAAGAATAAAGAAGGCACTGGACTTCACTGGGGCTTGGATATCCGTAAGAGCCGGTCTTTGACTAGTCACCCACAACACCATCCACAACAATGAAATCATATGCTGTTGGGAGCTAGAGATTTTGGAGAGCACCTGTTTACTCTGCATATGGAGTTCCAGGACATCAGAAGTTCTGCTCAGAACTTCTTCCCAGAATTGACTCCTGTTCTCTGAGGACCCACTGGCTTCTGTACATGTTCCCTACTAACCAGGAAAACTTGTTTTCAGCAGTAACGTATTAATCTGTATAAGCAAAAACACAATGTGTGCTATTTTCTTGTTCCTTTGTTCTTATCTTCAATAAAAGCTTGGGCTGGGAAAATGAAAGGCAAAGCTGCTCTCAATGGCACTCCCAGCCTCCCCCCATTGCAAATTCATTTAGACTCTGAGTCTTTGTTAATGGCAGAGAACTTCATCAGCTGTCCTGTCTGCAGCAATATACATTATAGATAAATGTGGAAGTATCAGCAATAAGAATTTTTGATCAAAGCAAATATGAGTAAGGTCATGACCTTGGAGTATGCAAAGAGTTCCTACACAGGACTACTTTAGAATTTAGAAATTCTATTTAGAAGATACATGAATAAAAAAGTGAAAAGGCAAATGGGTTAAGATATTTATATTGAACAGATCCACAATGGACTCACACTGTGAATATATAAAGAGCTCTTAACAATAAATAAGAAAAAAGGACGGTGACTGAAAGGTCCATGCAGGAGCCAACCAGGAAGCCCACCTGGGGGGCAGGAATGCGGATACCTGCCTGGAGGACTCAGACAATGAGCCTCCCCCCTCCCACTACGAGTCTCATCTCAGACAAAGAACCTCTACCTGCCCTACAAACTTTTCCCGCCGTTCGAGCCCAACTACCCACCTGACCTCTCCTCACCCTATAAAACCCTGCTTCCCCCTAACAACGTGCGCGGCTTCACTGACCCCCGCCTTGGGTCTGTGAGGTCCGCCCGGGGCGCAATAAACTTTCCCTCCCTTTGAGAAATGTAGCCTGGCTCTCCTTTTCTTTACCGCGACGAACCTTTCATCTTGGTGCCGAAACCCGGGAAGGCCGTGTCCCCTGGCGCCGGGGCCGCCTTCTCGTCCCTGGGACCTTTCCTCTCCATTGCAGACGCCTCACACCCACCACCAGCCTTAATCCTTGGGGTAAGTCACCTGCCTGACCCTCCTTCCTGGGAGGCCCTTGCCTCTGGCTATTCGGCTCCTTTCCTAATCTCCTGTTTTGGTCGGCTGTCCTGTAAACCGTGGGCCCACGTCAGCCGACCCCCGTTACACCTAGGCCTGGATTTGGGGACGCCCGTCCAGACTAGGTGCCCTGTCTAGGCAACAACCGAGCGGTGGAGACGTCCCCCTCGCTTGTTTGCCCCCTGCCTGTTGGCCAGAACCGGACCGGGGGATGCCGCGATCCGGGGCTGTGCCCCCTGTAGGCCAGGTCAGGCTCGTGGGACG